AATCAATGGATTCTCTTTCTTAACTATTCACTACACAGATTCTCTCATTTAATTTCAGAAGTGGGAGTCGGACGTAACACGGTATGGAAAGTTTTGCGTGAACAACAATTGTACCCTTACCACATTCAAAAAGTTCAGGCACTTAAAGCTACTGATTATGAGCCGCGAGTTATCTTTTCTGAATGGTTTCTTGGAAGATGTAATCAAGATGCAATGTTTCTTAATAAAGTGCTATTTACCGATGAAGCTGGTTTCACTAGAGATGGTATAATAAATTTTCGAAATATGCATGAATGGGCTGAAGATAACCCTCACGCGGTTGTTGAACGTCACCACCAGGATAAATTTTCAATAAACGTCTGGGCTGGAGTTATTGATAATTACCTTATTGGACCATTTGTTTTGCCGAATAGGTTAAATGAAGCAGCATACAGGCTTTTTTTGGAAAATAACTTATATGAGCTTCTTGATAATATTCCGATTCAAATCAGACATAACATGTGGTTTATGCATGATGGAGCTCCACCACATTACAGCCTTGAAGCTAGACAGCACCTTAACGAAAGATTGGAGGGTAGAGTAATTGGCAGAGGTTGTCCTGTTAACTGGCCACCTCGTTCACCAGATCTAAATCCAATGGATTTTTTTGTTTGGGGTTATTTAAAATCATTGGTTTATTCCAGTCCTGTTGAAACAGTTGAAGAATTGGAAGAACGAGTTTTTCATCATTGCGAAGTTCTTAGGAATAATCCTGAAGTATTTTTTCGTGTAAGACAGTCTATGATGCGACGGTTGTGTTTGTGTGTGGAAACCAATGGTCGCCACATTGAGCATCTGCTTTAATTTTTTTTGATTTGTTTTTTTAGAATATATATTTTTTTAAACCGTTTCTTATTATTAAATAAAAATAGTCCCACCACGACATTTGAACTACAATTATTTAGAGAGAGCTAAAAAAGTTATTTTTATTTACGAGATTCACCGAGGTAATTTAGGAAAATTGAAAATTAAGCTAAAGTGGACGAATATCTTTGGATGATGTTTTCTCGGAAACGGCTGCTCCAATCGAGATCAAACAAGTATTCCTTTTTGACGTAGTTTTCAATGTAGAATGTAAAAAAAAATATGGATAAGTCATTACCAAAAACACAAAAAAGTTATGAATAATCAAAATTTTCAAAAAATTCCCAAGTACACCCCTGACGAAATAATTTCTTTTTGAAGGTGTCAAAAGGTCACTATTATTGATCATATTTAACAGCCAAAATTTGGTTCTTTTATTTGTTTCCATTTTTAAGAAAATTCAAAAAATCAAAATAAAAAAAATGATTTCGAGAGGCTGTTGCTCGCTTAGGGGGCACTTTAGGACATAGGTCTATAGGAACTTTTTTTCCATTTTTTGGTTAAGGAATCTGCCTGAGAATTTTGGGACACATTTTAAAGGACACCCTGTATAAAGATTTCCCAGCAAACATTTTCTATAACATTAGTTATAACTCGACTTTGTTAAACGAATTTACTTATTGAGGTAATTATTACGTAAAATTGACTAGAAAAATATACCTCTAATGTAAATTTACCAAACGGTTTTAATTTATATTTAAATTTACGTAAATTATACCAAGAAATCTACCTTTTACACAAATCTGCTTAAAAGTAACTTTAACCATATCAGCAAGGGAAAAACTACTTAAAAAAATAACCAACAATTACTTCAAAGTTTGGCAACTAAAAATCGTCTTTATAGTAGAATATTTAACTAGGTAGATTTGGTTAAAAATTCTACGTAATTTTATGCCTCCATAGTAACCTATTTGGCCGCTTTTATTAACTCTCCTTTAAAGTAATATTAGGTCAAGACCGTAGCAAAATTCTACCTGTGTATCTACCTAATTTCAACCAAATAGTCGAATACTCATTTAGTTGACCTATAAGTCATCTTGAAGAAATATTTATTAACTTTGTTGTAGCAATTACCTGAAAAATTTACCACAAAGTAAATTCGACTAAAGTCACCAATTTAAAAAGAGTCATACATGACCTATTTGTAAAATTTATATTATTTAGGTTATTTTAACAATTAGGTTGTTCAGTTACTGTCTTCGTCATTATTCTTAAGAATTTCGGCCATTTTAAAAAAACCATTACTGTCGTAATCTTAATTTACGTGTGGTGTAGATAGAGCTTTAAATGAGTGCGAAAAATAATTAATAAAATTAGTTCGAAAAATAATAAATCATATCGTTATACTTCCGATTTTTATCGTCAAGTGAAACGTCTAAAATCTCAAGTGCAGAACAACGTGACCTAAATATGTTATATTTACCTATAGGTAATTTTTTTATAAAACCTATAAGTTATTATTTCTTTAAATAGGTAAAGTTAACTAATATGTTGTGAAATTGAAGTTAATTCAACTTAATAAAAAGGTATTTGTAAAATACGTAAATTTCCTTAGTCATAATAACTTTTAGGTCGAATTCGCACAATACGCCATATTTTCTTAACGTAATTGAAGTACGATTCCAAATTTTAAATTTTTAAAATGACCATAACTAGAACATACGAATGAAAATACCGAAAAACGAAACATTATTGATTTTCTAAAGTGATACACAACAAACGTAACATAGTTTTAGCTCATAATATTATTATTATTTTTTTACACGATCATATGTTTTTCTTATATTTTTTTAATTAGAGAATATTTTGGAAGGGCATTGTTATTTTTCTAAGTAGAACTGTTAACATGCACGACAAAATTTTCTTCGCATTAATTTCAACAAGCATGAACTGTATATTCACCGCAATTACATTACATATATTTTTGTCACGGACATTTATTTATTTTCAATCTTCCATGTGAATTAGGTATATGTTTTAGTTGTGTTGGTGACTTCTTACAATATTTCTACTTATATATAGATAAAAATACCAAATAAGTATAAAATTTCTTTACGTACACTTGAAGGCATACGTCATCTGCAAATATTTTGGTAGTTTCTACATAAACGTAGTTAAATCAACGTCGAATTAACTTTATACTGACGTCAAATTTCCCTAGAGAGGTATTACTAACCAAACGTACTGGGCTACTACAATGTGGATTTAGATGTAATTCTACCTATTTTGATAAATAAAACCAAATTTCGACGTCGTCTTATTCTCCACTTATGTCGAATCCACGTCGAGCCAACGTAAATTTTACTTAATTATGGTTAAATCTAGTTTTGCGACCAAATTTATTATATATAATTTAGGTAGTATCGACGTCAAATTACACCAAAATGTTTGCTGGGTTGACTTTCAGTTTTCCTGAACGTCAAATTCATAAAATAAATAATAATACATACTTGTATTATTTGAGTCAATATTTATCACATTTTTGGTCTTCCCTTAATGACATTTCTAATTTTTTATGCCCGCTTCCCTTTTTACGTCCTCGACTGATATCAATATCTCTTTTACTCGCGACAAAAAATATATCTCTCGTCAGAGAAAAAATTAACTGTGAACAAACACATTTATCGCTCAATGAAGCACTAGAAAATTCAATTACCGGAAGGTGCCAAGTCGATTTTTCAAACCGATACATCATCACCTTATAAAGTTCCTCTGCACTCCACGCTCCGCAGTCTGCAATGCATCAGCTCGTTTAAAAATAGCATTTTAAGTTTACGACCAGTTTTGACATCGTTAAAGAACTTTTTCTGGGACAAACAGGAAAAGAATCTGGTCCATTTTTAAGGCAATATTGCTATTGTTGTGGTATTATGTTGTAAATTTGTTGTATAATATCATGTAAAACTTGGAATAAAGATTTAAATAGAAAATATAACGTTTAATTTAACATAGACACAGTTCACAAAATAATAGAAGTTATAGTTGGAACCAGCTAGATGTTTTAACCCCGGAATATTGGTCTTTTAAACCGGATATACTGAAAGTATAGATTTGGTTAGTTTCCAAAAGTAAATTATGGAAGACGTGAAGAAGACTTAAGTTTAAGCAATTTATTGTGGGTGCTGGAAGTATGGACACATTGCAGAAATTACGTTATTAGATATTGGAGCAAAATTAGATATAATGCTGTGATTAAAAATTAAATTTGATGAGTATCAACATATGTTGGTTATGAGCAGTTGGACGTTCAAATATTGGAAAAGGATACATTTGAAAAGGGTTTTGACAAGGTAATAAGTACAGCAAAACACATTTTAAATTTTCAGGGCTATTAAAGAACATATTAAGAAACCTAGTAGTATAACTGTTTGCTTTGGTTTACTTAGTAGTATAACTCTATGAATTTATAGTCTTTAATACATGATATACACAGAAATATTTCACTTCTTAAAAGGTATTGTAGAAATGTTGAAAGTATATTTTGTAGAGCATAATAATTAAAATATAGCTTGTGATCTGTTGTGTAAGGTGTTCAATAACGACTTCTGCAGAATTACGTAAAACTCTTATTTCTTAAGCAAAAGTACTAATACATTTAGAAAAACTGGGTGTAGATATAAACTCATGGGATATCATAGGTATAAATTAACATGCTGAAAAAAATTTGTATAATAAGGCAAAACAAAATTGGAAAGAAGTGTAAGAATAACTAAAAGCCCATGCCAAGGTCAGAAATTTATCATTTGTTCCTTATCAAACAGTCATCAATGAAAATCATTCAACTATATCTGGCTAAGAGTCGTTTTTAATGGTTCGGCACCTAGTGATACTAGAGTTTTAATTAATAATTTACAGTAGATTGGCCCTAATGTTCAGGGTGACATATTGGTTATTTTATTTAAATTTAAGAGATACAAAGTAGTAATTTGTGCTGATATTAGGAAAATAAGGATCAAAAATGTTTGCACAAAATAGTTTAGCTTTTAGAATATGAAATGAATACTGTTACTTATGAAACACACATCTACACTATAAAAACTTGATGAATCATACAAAGAAAGAATTGCATTTCAACTTTTCAAACCCTTCAATAAAAGTATGCCTTCGACAAATTAAAAACTTTTTATTTTCCTTAATACACTAAACATGTTACAATAAAAAAATAATTTCAAGCGATATATAAATGTGGGTCCTAAACGGGTTTCCTAAAGTTTTTACCAGCAAACCTAGCATCTTTGCACAGCTCTTCTTCGATACGCAAAATCTGATTATACTTGCACAACCTTTCCGATCTACAAGGTGCTCCGGTCTTGATTTGCCCAGTGGACAATCCAACCACAAGATCAGCAATGAACGTGTCTTCAGTTTCTCCAGATCTGTGCGACACCATGGTACCCCAACCGTTCTTTTTGGCCAAGAGATGAGCCTTAATAGATTCGGTTACGGATCCAATTTGGTTGACTTTCAACAGCAAGCAGTTGCAAGATTTGGTAGCGGCAGCCATTTCTATTCTTTTAGGGTTAGTGACAGTTAGATCATCTCCAACTATTTGGATACTTACGTTTCCAGTTATGTTAGACCAAGCGTCAAAGTCGTCTTGATCAAAAGGATCCTCAATGGACACAATGGGGAACTTAGAGATAAAACCTTGGTAGATTTGGTACAACTCGCTACCCTTGATCCATTTCGATCGATCTGATTTTGGATTCTTAAAGTCGAGATCGTAAAGACCTTCTTTGTAGAATTCAGAAGCGGCAACATCCATGCCGATTTCAATTTGTCCGGTGTATCCAGCTTTAGCGATGGCTTGCTGGATTAAACTTAAAGCTTCTTCAGCGCTGGGAATATTCGGAGCGAACCCACCTTCATCGCCCACAGCGGTGGCGTCCAAACCGAAGTTCGTATGGATTACCTTCTTCAAATGATGGTACGTCTCGCTGCCCATCTTCATCGCTTCTGTGAAGGAATGCGCTCCGGTTGGTAAGATCATGAACTCTTGCATGGCTAGTTTGTTACCAGCGTGAGAACCTCCGTTGATTACGTTAAAAGCGGGTACAGGAAGTATCAAGGATTTGTTATTAGCTAAATCGGCTATGTGTCTGTAAAGAGGAAGGCCTCTTTTGGCTGCTCCGGCTTTACAAACAGCCAATGATACTCCCAGAATAGCGTTGGCTCCTAATCTGGACTTGTTTTCAGTTCCGTCGAGGTCTATCATAAATTTATCGATTCTTTCTTGCATTGTAACATCCAAATCTTCTCTTAATAGAGCAGGAGCAATCATACTATTGATATTATAGATAGCTTTAAACACGCTTTTTCCATGATACTGTTCTTTGATTTCGTCTCTAAGTTCTAGCGCTTCGTGGATACCGGTACTGGCTCCGGAAGGTACCGCAGCTCTGAACGTACCCAAATTCGTCTTTATATCCACTTCTACGGTGGGATTACCTCTGGAATCGAATATGTTCCTGGCCCAGATGCTTTTTATATTGGAATTGGTTTCTTTTATTTTCCGTTGGCAAGACATTATTGCGTTTTAGGGCCTAAAATTATTATAAAGGTGAAAGTGACATACACAGAAAATTTGACATAATTTTGAATACAAATTTGTAATTTAAGATGGCTGGTTTTAATCTAAAGGATGTTTTTGTTTCCAGGACATTACTGACAGTTAAATGTCAACATTTTTGACAGTGTCACGGAATATGTTTGACTTTGAACCTTGACGGAACCGGCTTCAGGTCTAAGATCCTTGTGGATACAGGGTTGTCTTTAGAAAAATTTAAATTAACTTATGAAGAAAATAATTTAAAATTAAAAATAAATGACAGAATTATTGATATATTAAAAACATTTATTATTATTATTATTATTATTATTATTAAAAAAAGATGTCTCTAGAATGGTACTGTCAATCAATATTAAAGCCTATTTACATTACCTAGATTTTATGGAGCTCTATGTAATTTTTTTAAATGTCAACCAACTTATATACAAATGCTGGTTTAAATGTATTTCTTCCCAATAAACTAAAATTTTCGACGGATTTTTACGATTTGGGGTCCCCTGAATCCATTTTGATTATTTTCACGATGATGTCAGGGTGTCTATATCCACGATAAATCAGAAACGAATATAGAAAATGACACGAAATTTTAAACTTAAGCTTTAATGCACCATGCGCGTAGCTGATTAGAATTTAGGCATAGTCGTAACATCTGGGGGGTACTTCATAGGAGGTCGTTTTTCTACTTGATGGAATATATCTGTAATTTACGCTTGGAGAAAAAAATTCTTCAAATAAAAGTTCCTTGTAATATTATTTTCTATAATTTTTGTTATATGCATAATTTTCCTAAAATGGTCCGTATTCGAGAAATTTAACAAAAAGTGCAAAATTTAAATTTTTAAGAAAATTTAAAAAAGTTATTTTTGATGTCATTCTCTATAATTGTTGTTTTATACATAATTTCTCTATTTCTCTATTCGAGATATTTAAGAAAAAGTTGAAATTTTGAATTTTTAAGATAACTCAAAAACGGATAAAGAGAAAAACACCGAATTTTAAATTTAAGCTTTAATCCATCCTGGGGTAAACTGAATAAATTTTGAGTATAGTCGGAACATCTGGGGGGTACTTTATGGGGTTTATTTTTCTACTTTATGGAATATATATATTATTTACACTTATAGAAAAAAATTCTTTAAATAAAAGTTGATTGTTATGTTATTCTCTATAATTTTCGAATTTTTAAGAAAATTGATCAAAAAATTGAGTTGATCCTCTTAACATTTACAGGCGTGATACAATAAATTGTACAAAATAACTGAAAAGAGCCTGTAACAAATAGACAGGAAAGTCATGTGTTGGACACAGCAGATTTTTATTGTTAAAAAATAAACTTAAATCGTGGTGAAATTGAATGTCTAGCTAAAAATTGCAAAATAAATTCGAATCGTTCTAACCGTAGTTTTCTTTTATTTTCTGTACATGCAAGCAGGTGGTAAGAATCTAACCTATAAACGAATTCTCACGAAAAAATTTAAATATTTTAAAATCAGGTAAGATTAGATGGCTAGATTATGGACTAATGTTTGAGTTGCAATTTGGTTTCCGCAACAGCAGATGCGGCTGATTGGGTGATGAACAGAGTTAAGACAACCTGGAAGAGATATTTAGTCCTCATATATCTCCATATCTAGTAAACATCAGTAGCAAATACCTAAAACACAGATAGATAACCGTGACAAGGAACCACCAACAGACTTTGAGTGCAGGAGTCCCACAGGGCTGGGTCCTTGGCCAGACCCTGTGGAATATTTTGTAAAATGACGTTCTTATGCTGAAATTAAGAGGGGAATATAGATCCATAGCCTTTTGGGCGACTTGGATGTATTAGTTGAGGACACACCTTTGCGAGTTATGGATAGAGCGCTGAAGAAATTGGAAAAATGGACGAAATACGTGTTCCAGAAATGACGTCATACAACTCGTCAGAGGCATTAAGTACCTGGGAATCATCCTGACTTTAAATCTAACTTTCATCAGTTAAAACCACAAACTATTTGAATCGAAGATATTTCGTATAGGTAGTTCACTCTAAAATCCTTATTAATAGAAGAGTAGGAGTAGCATTCTAAGGGTATCAAAAACAGCCACACAGGTAGTAGCTAGAGTCATTCCAATCCACTCAGGAGAGACCTATAGCATAGCTCCTCCGGTCCTCTACTCCACATGACTTTTTCTCTTGTGTTTGTTGTAATCTTTAGGTTTGAGGAGCTTAAAAAATGAGGTCCCCATCTCTCCCGTCCAGCATTAGTTCAACAGAAAAATGGTCGTCACCCTATTCTAATATAAAGTTTTAAATCGACGCCATATAACAAACATTGACAATTTTTAAAGCGTTATGTCATATGTAAATGTAAATAAATTCATGTGAATTAAGACTTGCTACAAATACTGTACAAAGTCAATAAAATCTATCCGTCTCTTGCCCAATATAGAAAAAAACATAGTTTTAAAAATGTTCTGAAGTAGGTACTGAAATTGAAGTTACACATTAATTGAAACTTGTTTGTGTAATTCTTTTTAATTACAATTTTTCTAATTATTTTTTCCTGAACTATGTGTACCACTTTTTCTAAGTAAAGTAATAGTAAAAAAATGTAAAAATAAAAGACAATTTTCGTACTTTAACAAAGTAAATTCTCTGAAATACAATTTTTCAGATTTCTACTGAAAAAAACTAAACCAGTATCTGGTAAATTAGAACAACAAAATGTACAGTAACATAATAAATAAAGCAAAGTGTATAACGGGACAGTATTTGTTTAAGTTGTCAAATACAGGAAACTAGATTTGTTACTTTAATGTTCTAGTTCTTCTACTCTTCTTTAGCAATATTTATCTCATCGGTCGCTTAGGTTGTATGAATTAATGAGTTATGAAAATATCTTGATTTTTCCGCATCATAAAGCTATCAGAAGGAAATGTTAATATTTTTTACCGCAATAGCCACATATGTCCGCATTAAAATAAAAATCAGAAGGTAACAAATCTATGCTGTCAGTACTTTACTAGTGGAATTTTAAAAAGATTCTCAGATATTCAGGATGTATAAATATTAATATTATTTAAATTGAAAGGATACTCTAATTATTAGAATGAGTATTATACGTTTAATTGAAACAAATTTTGTAACTTCATAAATAAAGGTTTGTTGCAAATTAATGAAAGTCACAGTTGGAACATCTGGGGGTATTTTATAAGGGGTTATTTTTCTACTTTATCGAATATATCTTGTTATTAACGCTTGGAGAAGAAAATTCTTGAAATAAAAGTAGGCCCAACTTCCATCTACCCTAGAGGTGGTAGGTGGGGTGAAACTTTTTTTTCATAATTCGAGTATTTGAGATATTGGTTGTATAGATAATTAAAAATAATTATTTAATTAAAAGGATAGGTTGATTAATTTTTTATTTTAAAGCTTTTTCAATTGAAAATAAAATTATGTATTTTTTTGTTACTTTTAATAAACATTGTGTTGAAATAATTTATTGCTTTACATTACGGGAATATATATTTTTTCCTAGTTTTTCCTCAATCGATAAAAAATGTTACGTTTCGGGAGGGATGTTTATTCATTGTACCTTTACCCAATTTTGGAGTCCTGCAAGTGCCATTATAGCATGAAACCTTGAATATATAAATTCGCAGGATCCCACGCGTCTTTTAGAGTATTATAGTCATAAAGATACAACAAATTAACAACATTACAAATAGATAAAGTAAATCTGTGTCTTGAATTTCAACTTTTAGGCGTCCTTGAACCAGACCTTCAAATGCACGGTATCTTAGACTCAAATTTCTTTTACGATTATTTTGCAAAAATAGACTACGAAAAATTTTTATTCTCGTTTTCATATCATAATACCCGGCATATGATTCCTATTCAAACAGTACATCAAATTAATTATATGTCAATTTCCGCTAGATGTGAAGTAATTAAATATTGTAAAGTAAATATAAACGAAGAATGTGTTGTTCTACCTAACGAATTATGTGAAGGTGTTTTTATAGCTGGAACTCTTGTTAGGGCAAAACAAAATTTAATTCCTGTCAAAATTTAATTTACACCAAAATTAGAAAAACTAGTTAACTATGATTTGTGCGAAGTTAAAACAAAACCTACCTTTTCAGTTACCAGGGCAGATAAGTTATTAAATTTAATAAAATTAGAACACTTAAATATGGAAGAGAAAAACCCATTGGAAAACATTGTAGCAAAATATTCCTATGTGTTTCATCTAGAAAATCGTTAACTGTTTCTAATATTTGTAAGGAAAAAATTCAACTAAAAGATTCAGCAAAGCCAGTTTTTAGAAAACCTTATCGTTTACCTCATGCTCAAAAAATACAAATTCACTCAGAAATTGATAAAATATTGCAAAATGGTATTATTGAAGAAACTAAATAAGAATGGCAATCTCCTTTATTAATTATTCCCAAAAAGGGTTTAAATGAAAGAGGCGAAAGCCGAGTAAGAATAGTTATAGATTATAGGCAGTCCTAATTATCTATTATAGTCTATTTTTATGTATGAGAAAGTATTAAAATAATGAAGCGTTCGTAATCCATAGGCGTATCACTTGTTTAGTAGACAGTTAAAATATTTTTTTAAGTTATTCCTCGAGTATGCATTTATATTTTCACCTAATTAACCTGCTTATAACTTCTAAACAGCTGAAGGTAAAAAAGTGCAATTTTTTCTAAAATGTTTTATTTTTCCATAAGGTATGTTAAAAACATTGTGTCAAACGGGTTATGTAGGTATAACGGTTTAAACTTTAACTTTTAAACAACGTTACGTTCATAAATAATAATTTTAATATAAAAACTAATTCTTACCTATAAATCCAAATCAGAATCGAAATCAGAAGATGAACTGTCGCAACCAATATTTACAATGAGTGGCTCGATCATTTCATCAGTAATATTGTCCAACTTCCACATTTTCTCTTCTTATTTAATAGTATGATTTACTGCCTTTTCCCAGTTTTCAGGCTTAACATTATTTACAGCCTCCAAAAACAACTGTTTAACATCACTCATTTTAAAAGAATTATTTTTTCTTGAAACTTCTTCCTTTATCTGTGCCCATATCAGTTCAATCGGGTTTACTTCGCAATGATATGGTGGTGATCTAACCACAGTCATCCCACGATTTT